AAAAATCCGGCATTTACAGTGCATTAGATCGTGACAGTGCATGCTTGCGTGCATACGAGAGGGAGCGAGCGCGGGTTTGGCTAGATGTATGTGCTCATGTCTCATTCAGCACAAATCCAAATGTTTCCATATCCGCAATGTATTTGAATGTTAAACTATTATTTATAATGTAAACTAGGCTTGTACTTTACACTCATTCGCATATAGACGGAAAAGATCATCCTCTTCACATGAGCAAAAACGTCCTTGGCGTAACAGCAGAGTGGACCGGTATTCTACGGTCTATTTAAACTGACCAGTGTAACCTTTTATATGTTTGGTTGACTGCATTTTATTTTGATAATGAACAGACTGCGATGTAAGTTTGAATTGCTATGTGGGGTGTGTGCGCGTGAGGCGCCGGTGCGATCGAACAGCTGAAACAGAAAAAAAACTTGTTTATTGAGCGCCGCGCCACACTTCTGTTTTAAATTTGTTTAAATTATGTTAGCTTAATTAAGCCAGATATATTTCGCCGCCTTTTTTTTTTTTTTAATGAAAACATTGTTATTTTTATTTAGGCCTATTGCTTACATAGGCTATACATTTTCCTTAAAGCATTCCATTTTGTCCCAGGGCGTGAAAACCTGTGCCTAGGCTAGTTAAGTCCTACAGAAACTTGTGAACGATGCTCTAGTTGTGGCATCACCGTTTAGTGACGTCAATGAATGCTCCGGGAAAACGTATAGTCCGTGTCGGTCACAGCGCCTTTTAATTGCTTTGAATCCAGTAATTATTTATTTACAAATTATAAGCTCGGATTATGACAAGTGTGGTATAAAAGCTTTGTTTATTAGAGGAATAATTGGTTAGCTGGAAAATGTTACGTCGCGACCATGCTTTTGGATGCCGTTTGAGCCCATATAGCCTACATTTATGCAGCTTTTTTGTTCTGGTTTGCCGGTTGGTCACAAATTTCCACAAATTCAATAATATTTAGGCATCGTTTCTTTTCCTAAATCCTCACCGTCTAACCCTCTAATTTTGTGGCATCACCGTT